GTGTTCTCTAAATACACGCGTAGTTAGGCTGTTTATTATGATAGGTAAATGGCGTGCTTAATAGAACTCCAAAAAGTAAAAGAATGCATTATTAAATGGGTATTTCATGAATTGATGTAAACTACCAAATTAACTTATACCGTATAACAAGTGGATAAACATAAAGCGGAATGTCTAGTTATCCATGGGAAGCCCAGTACTAGGTGTCCGCATAATGCAAGCTGTTGGAGTAAGCGTACGTATTGGTCCCGAATGATTGTCTGGATGCAGTCTAAGTGCTGCATAAAGAAAGTAGGTGCCTGGCAATCAGGCTAACTTGGGAATTAAAGCAATAATATTAGTAAATCGAGAAGGAAATTTATAGTGCATAATTAATAACACTTGAATATAGGATCTAAGATAAGTAAACATGGATTTCCGTCCTAACATAGCTTGAGGTGCAAGAATGACGTTAGAAGGCGGAGAAGCCATCCTTAGAGTATTAAGCGCAGAACAAGTTTAAACTTTCGAATCTGGTATGGCCTCTTTGCGCAGGGATATCGCAAACATTTATGCAGCATTCGCATTTTAGCCTGTGTATTGCCATAGGGAGTACGAAGGTCGTCGCATGAAGGATTCGAACCCTGGCCTCGTGGCTGTGATATCCCGCTAACACAACACTATACTCGGGATGGCCGTGGTCCTTATACGCTCACTGTAAAAAGCTGACAGCTGCCCCACAGCAACACAGCCACCTCTCATTACTTCGCCGAATGCGAATTCGTCCGTCAGCGCGCGGAAAAGTAGTAGTTGGACAATCCATTTACACGTTGATAGTAACATCGCTAGTACATTGATTCCTTGAAACAAAATAGTAGAAGGCTTGTTTGACATATAAAAGTAAGAAAATTCATCCGTAATTATTACAATACCAACATGTTGAAATAACTGACAAACGCGCAGCTGTAGGTAAGATTTCCTAAGTGAGGGGAATTGATATTTTCACGGACAGCAGCTTTATCTTTATGAATATCGCGAAGGCGTTTGCGGCTCTTTCTAATGATTACATGCTAGACGACTAGCACTAGTTCAAACTTTGTATTTATAAACTACCTCCACCCTGCGTTACGATTATAAAACTTGCCAGGCATGAGAACACACCTAGAAGCGCCAAGCTCTTTTGCGCTTCGCCTTTATACATAAGGGTTCCGGGGTGAGTATGCAGCCGGACCTACATTTAGCGGATAGGGTAACGCTTAAGGAAGCCCTTAAAAAGCCTAAAGCACGTCGAGAAGATGGCGAGAATGTTTTAAGTTTGGTGGGTTTTCGGGCGGTGATTCGACGGTGCACTTCCGCTTTACCAGAGCCCATTCTGATAGCACACGACCGGAAGCTCGCCATACCAGACGTTTTCACCCAGTTCTCAGTGAGGTGCGTTGCCTGAGCAACAAGATGTGTGAAGTTGGGGCCCTAATAGCTAACTCTAATCCTGACGTACTCGCGTTCACTGGAAAATGGTCGTTTTCTTACGTCATCGACAGGGCATTATATGTTCCAACGTTCAAACTACTTCGATATGACCGCTCATCTGAGCGCCACGGAGATGGAGTTGCACCGTACACCAGGTGTAAGCATAGCAAAAACGCACACTTTAAACTCAACTGCTACTAACGTCAAAGCGCTTGTAGTTGAAGTTTGTACTGGGTCAAGGCAAACTAAATTTGTGCTGCTGTATAGGAGCCCTGGTAGCGCTGCTAGGAAATTCACTGACCTCATCGGCACTCAATCGTCGAACAGATACTTGATAATGGGGGACTTCAACTTTCCTGACGTAAATTGACATGACCTAGCTTATGAGGCAGCTACAAAAGAGTTGGCTGTCGAGCCTGGCGACTTGACTGGAACTACGCGTATACCAATTCAGCGACCGACCTACCTGGTACAGGGTGGGTCAGGCTCCTTCTACCTTGGATCTGGTTTTGGCAAAATCGGTTGACTTTGTGAGTGTCCTTGGGTACGGTACCCTTTGGGAACCAATGACCATGCGCGTTTGTCATTCACATGTGCTCTCATAAGAGATTACGGTTCAAGCAGGGTCCAAACATTTGGCATGCCAACTTTTAGTCTGTTAGGACCAAAGCATTAAGTTCCCTAAGCATCAGCTTGCCGGCTGATGATATACAGACGGCTTCGGATGCGTTTAAGTCTTTCCTGTCTAAAATATCCCCCACGTCCCTTTTTCTCTGTGGATGATTGTCAGAGCAAAGCCCCCAGGTTAGATTCAGTCGTACACCAGCCAATGAATATACGGGCGTGTTGCTGGTGGATCTACCGGAGAGTTCGCTCGGAATGTACTTTTCGGCGTTATTGAGAAGTGCACACTGCTTGCAATTCACGTACCAGTTGTTAGACTTAGCTATGAGCTGGAGCTGGCTAACTCAGCCTCCGCAAACCCCAAACAATACTTCGCCTTTGTCAGAAAGCGCAGAAACCTTGCCTTGTCTATCCCAGTGTTATTAGGCGGCGACAGCACCACTACCAACACTGCTCACGAAAAGCATGTTTACTCAGTGTGCAGTATGCTAGGAATTTTGTTCGGGACGAGCAGTTGCCGCATGTTGACTTAGCGATGAGAGTCCTACCGGACTACAGCTTAACTGACCTTTGAATTTCGGAGGCACAAGTTCTCCATCTTCTTCAGAGGATAAATCCTGCTAAATCCACTAGGACGGAAGCCATTCACCGAAAGCTATTGTACGAACTCGCCAGCGAGCTATGTAGCTCAGTGACACGAAGTTTTAGTTATCCTATAGCAGCTACTATTTTCCAAAGGACTGGAAGGATGCTATCATCCGCCCGATTTTTAAAAAGGGCAACAAGCATCTCGCTGCCAATTATTGACCGGTAAGTCTGACAAGCGTACCGGTCAAGTTAGTGAAGCCGTTGGTTTAGGAAGTGCGTGATAACCACCTGCGGATGTTTGAGCTGCTCAGTTAACTTCAACACGGCTTTCGCAAGCGCCACTCCTGCATGACTAACTTGCTAGCTGCACGCGAAGGTTGTGCGGATGCTTTCGAATGGGGTCATACATTAGACGTACGGTTTATTGACTAAAGCGTTCGAAACGGTACAACATTCTCGACTTTCCTTGAAACTACGGTTCTAAGAAATATCAGGGCGTGTACTATAAAGGATCACCACGTTTCTAGAAGAAGGAATGTGGTGTGTCCGTATATCGTCTAGTCTGTATTTCTGCCAGTCCGTCTTCAGTGTGGTTCAGCAGGTTTCGGTGCTTTACCCGTTGTTCTTTTCGCCGTATGGCAAAGAATTGCCCGAATCGCTGTTGTACCGTCTCTTATGATTGCAGACGACCTAAAATTTTCGAACACGGGGTCTGATCTTGTTGGACCCCAGACGCCGTAATCGGCACTCGATAAACTTTGGGACTGGGCTGTTTTGTTGCCGTTGTCCATAAATTATGCAAAACGTTCCATTTTACGATTGGGGCCAAATGACCCAAAACACGTTACCTGTTTGGCGGGAATAAGCATGTTTCCCAACTGGCAGATCTAGTTGTCACTTTGTCTTCAGCGTTTAAATCTAGTGCGAACTTGAGGAAATTTACTTGCAAGGGTATCAGAATGTTGTGGATGATTCGCGTGGCATTTGTGAATATTACGGGCGATATGTTTGTTTGGCTATTCTCAGCCTTTGGCAGTACGCATAAGGAAAACCACATTCAGGCTTGTCCACCTTGATTACTCAGAGACAGGATGTCACTGGAAAGAGCGTTGAGAGTTGGAAATAAAATGATTCATGGACTACGGAATCTTACTTATCAGGCATGACTACTTGAGCTGGGAATGTTCGCAGCGCAGCTCCGTCGCCACCGAGGTCGCCCAAGCTTGACCTACCGCATACTTAGGGGTAAACTCGGACCCAATTTAGCTGGGCATTTCAAGCCGGCTCGGCTTCCATCTCGCCGAGGTCACCCGATGAAGCTACGCAAATCTCCATCGGATGGAGTCCGGGCGGACTTTCGTTTAGCACGCCGAGTTGTGGATGCCTGGAATACGCTGTCCGAGAACGTGGTATCGACACCAACGGTGAAAGACTTCGAACACTGACTTCACGCACTTAGTCTTCAGTGCTTAAATTTCATGTACACGTCTTAGCTTATTCGTCCTACTGAATTATTAAAACCATTAGTTTATGTTTATTAACATTCATTAATTCCTATCGCTGTTTCGTATTTCACGTGAGCGGTGCGGCGGGGACAGCCAATGCCGTTGGCGTGGTTTATAATAAGTTGACCTTGGTGTGCTTCGCATGTGCTGAACTGACTCTTTTAGATCCCAGTTATCGCGGACGAATAGTACCCTGAATCAACGACGCGCCACTGCAGTTACCTTCACGGGAGCTCATCCTAATGTTCCAGTCTCACTTCTTAGTGCCCCAAAAGATAATTGCTAACTCATTTACAATTTAATGATTGATCGATTGTACATTATTCCTTCTTGTTTTAATCCTCTTTACAACCAGCTCTACACTTCACCTCCTTGTAAGTTCTCGCGCTCAAGTGTTCGCTCTAGTCTCGCTTCATCTGTCCGCGTCTTCTTGTAGCCCATCGAATACAGTCCACTGTGTCCCAATCGAATCGCGTTTACATATCCGCGGTTTATTTCGCACACCGTCTCGGACTAGTATTAACTAGTCCTACAACTTGAACTTGAACTTGATCGGTTGCTGTTCGCTTGAGTGACGAAATTGCCAGATGGGACGTAAGGTGGAACGCATATGAATCCTACTTGATTGTCACAGTATCAGTGCTACGTTGTGCAAGCTCCCAACTTTTCTTAATAAACTGTAAAACAATATCAGCGTTTGTCACTAAAGGCGACCCCATCAAAAGGCACACCCGTCAAAACTTACACGTAATTTAACACAAAATCAATCAATTATCAACATATATAGCCTTTTAGTCGATAATATATTTAGCTGATTATAATTTCAAGTAATCCGGTAATTGTTGTTTTAGTGCATCGGGCTTTAGAATCGTTAGCCATATTTCGTGTCTTTGTTTGTCCTAGGTTTTTCTTTTGCTTCAGCGGTATTACGTTGTCAGCTGCATTTTTGCGTCCTAAACAATCGATTTTCTTAAAGTCCTTCCTTCGGATTATTTGGGACCAAAATCTGTTATAGAAACCTCCCAGTCTCGAACATGCCACCGAAGAAGCCCCCGAAGTCGAAAACCTCGTCCGTAAGTTGTTTTCTCCAGGGAATAAATGTACCGATCTGCACACTTGATTTTGTAACTATTGACCTCATTATTATTTCAGTTTGAAATTCGCTCCCTTACCGTGATCGCCTTGTATTTACTGTCTTCCGCAGTGCATTCGTTGTTCAGTGTCGTGCTTTATGCCCTGTCCACACTGACGGACCTTCAGATGTCCCCTTTTGGCGTCCTTTTGGTCACTCGCAGAGGCAAAAATTTATGAAAATGGCTTGTTCTGTCCAGATATGCTGTCATATGAGATTGTACGTCTAGCACCTCCGTTCTTTGCCTAGACGTGGTCACTGTTTTTTTAAAGGAATCTTTGTTTCATTTTTCGTGAGTGACCATTGAAGCTCACTGATTGACTAATTTTTGTGAAATTCAGCCGTCCTAATTGAACAATTTTTGGACGACTTTTGGTCACTTGAAGACATTTTCCATTTAGCTTAACGGCTATAGTGTTATGTACTTACAATCTAGGAATCGATTTTACTTACTGCTGACGGTATTTGCAATCAGACAAAATGCATTTGCGGTGTACGGTAAGGGTGCGTTGGGACGAATTCCGGTTCATTGGATTATTGGATGATAGAGAGCAGAAGGAAATTCCTTTGTCAGCTCCGTCACTTCCCAATCGTTTCGGAGATAGCCTGGGTCATTGCGGAACAAGGTCCCACAGAGAACCACTGAAGCTGCGTTGGACACAGCTGGATCACCGTAAACTAAAATGAAAATCCAATAGACGCTTGAAACGTTCCTCGGTCTCGGCAACGACGATGGGCTCCGGTAGGCGGTTCCTATCATTCACAACGCGGGTGGATAAAGCCGGGCTAGATGCATTCGATCACTCCTCGGTTTGAACAGTTTCAAACTGTGGTCTCTTGTTGAGCTCTCTGTGTTGAGATGGAAGAATTCCCGTAAATCCCTCCCCAATTCTTCTCTAAGAATACGTCGGGTGAAGATCAAGTCTCCGCAATGACAACGGTAATCCAGGGAAAAGAGGTTCAGTTGTTTGAGTCGGAGAGAATAGGACAGGTTCCGCAGCTCAGGAACAGATTTGGATCCATGCCGTTGAACCTTTTCAATCATATCACGTTCAAATTTCGTAAGAGGGTAGGCGGCAGGTAGCCTGTATTACAGAAGCTGGCGTACATGTAAAGTAAACAGGAGTCGGAAGATCACAAGGGTCAGGCGAGAGAAGACTCTGCGTATAGAGTGAAACATGCTGTAGGCCGCAGCGACCTTTTTGGTGTCTTCGTTAGATTTGAGGTCAGACGAAAGTATCACTCCCAAATCCCTCTCCTGAGTGGCGTTTTTGAGCAAGGAACCACCAGTATGATTGATTCCAAATGGGGCAGGCGCACCAACTGGATGAACTGAACACTTCTCATGATTCATTGGCAACTGTCACTTGATTGAACAATCATGTAGCAGGTCGAGTGTCAATTGCAACCTGTCAGCATCTTCCATACTGGATACCCCCATCCATAGCTTCAGGTCGTCGGCGTAGATTAGGCAATCCGCCTGGAGTGTGGACGGTAAGTCATTGATGAAGACGTTGAAAAGCACGGGGCCGATGAATACTGAATACTGTATTTTGGAGCAAGTAGAAAATAATTCTGTACAACTCCATCGGGTGATAATCAAAAACATTAAAAGGACACGTCCGGTGGTTATCCTGAGATGGTTCAGCAACCCCTTCTGTAGCACACAAAATGCTTGTTCACACAGTGAGTCACAAGTGGGTGATATCGTTGTCAAGTGGCAACCGTTCTCTGAAACGTATGTTAGCGAAGTGTAAACACTACAAAGATTTGAATTTCTGCACAGATTCGGCCTCGACGACGTGTTCTGGCAGACTGTTCTAGGCGTGCACAACCCTCCGCTCGAAACACAGGGGGTGTGGGATTTTCTTCAGATCAGGTACCACGAGTTTGTACCTGTGCCCACGTGTGGTGCGTGGTACTCGCAAGTGAATTAACGACCTCAGCATGGGAAAATGACCGAGATGTAAAATACGGTAGGTCATGATAAGATCCACTCGAACACGGCGATACGACAAGGTGTAGAGCCCAAGTTTCATGCACCGGTTTTCATACGATAAGCCTCTCAAGCTGGGGATCGACTTGGTGGCGACGTGTTGTACTCGTTCGATCTTTTGCGCTTCGCCACGAGTGATCGTACAGTATGCAGGCGAGCCGTACTCTAGCACTGGTCTGACAATGGAAGAGAAGAGGCGAGTGGCGACGTCCTCAGACCAAGTGCAGAAGCTGCGCTTCAGCGCCCAGAGCATGCGCAGTCCGTTTCGATACAGTGTTGGTGGTGTCGACGGACTTCAAGTCGCAGCGTGAGAGTACACCTAGGTCTTTCACGGAAGGTGTGGGATGCAGTGGTTGACCGTCTAGGGTGTACGTTCGGTCGTGAACAGCCTTCCCGAGATTCATGAATAGGGACTTTGCCGGGTTGACCGGTAGTTGGACTTCAGCAGACCATACTGCGAGGCGGTCGAGGTCTTGTCGGAGAATGTCACAGTCATCGAGAGTATTAATTTCTCGCCAAATTTTGAGGTCATCCACAAACAGTGCACAAGGCGACCGTAGAAGCTGGGGCAGCTCGTTGATGTGGATGAGAAACAGAGTGGGTCCCAGTACGGTACCTTGAGGTACACCACTGGTCGAGGGATACCAATAGGTTAGGTGGCCGTCCACCTGTACCCTCCATTTTCTTCCAACGAGCAATTCATGGATCCATCGATGTAACGATCCTCTGACACCACACGACCTTAATCTGTCTAGAAGCACTTCATGATTAACTTTGTCGAACGCCTTGCTGAAGTCGATGTAGATTACGTCGACGGACTTTCCCCGGTTCAGTGCTTGCAACCATTCCTGTCTCGTCACAAGTAAGTTGGTAACACAAGAATATCCCACCCTGAATCCGTGTTGTGCCGGTGTCAGAAGTTCTTTCGATTGCAACAGATGTATTAGACGCTTTTTTACTATCTTCTCGATCACTTTGGCCAAAACGGGTATAAGACAAATTGGCCTGTAGTTATCCACCTTACTGGGGCCGCCACCTTTCGGGATCGGCCTCACCACCGAGCGCTTTCAGTCGTTTGACAATGAGCCCTCAGACAATGATTTGTTGAATAGATCCGTAACAGCAGACGAGATAATGGCAGCTAATGATTTGATAATTAGCGGATGAAGCTCGTCAGGCCCTGCAGGTTTGGTACCGTCAAGGTTCGCAAGTAGCAGGCGCACCTCGTCGACATCACAACCAAACTGTTGAGTTCTACAGGAAGGTTACTCGCTGAGATGGGTATGGACGCCGCGTCGTTTGCAAACACGGAAGCGGTGAGCTGCCAGTGCGGACGCGCGATCGGAACTGGAAGTTAGCAGGTGTCCGTCCGCGTCTTCCAGACATGATACTTCACCTTTTGGCTTCAAACGGCGTTTCACGTAAACAAAGATCTTCTTTGGGGCCATCCTCGCGTCAGTTGCAAGCTTTTCTTCGAACTTCCGGCGCTTTATCAATTTCACTTTGTTGCAAATATTTCGCTGTCTTTTATATGCTTCGTAATCAGTGGCGGAGCCAGAGAGGCGAGATGCGTCCCACATTCTTCGCCGTAACCGAGCCAGCCTACCATATTCCTTGTCGAACCAGTGTGGTTTGATTGGTCCGACTTTCTGAAATTTCAACGGCACGAACTGTGAACAGAGCGAAGCCAATCCTTCCTTTATTACTGTCCAACCGTCCTCCACAGATGTAACATGCGGTAGAGACCAATCCATTTGGCTCGCTGCTCGATTTAATCCATCGAAATCAGTTTTTCAGTAGTTGTAAGCTGGTTTCACGGGAGATACACTCGGCAAGTTCAGTTCCATAGGGGCTATCAGCACGAAATGGTCGCTTTTAGCTAGGGGCTCCTGGATTCGTATGTCATGCAACCGCTGTTCGCAATTCGTCACCATCAAATCAAGGCACGATGGGTTCGAACGCGCCGTCATGCGCGTAGGTTGGTATATGTGTTGCGATGCCCCAGTTTCAAGCGACAAATCAACAAACTTTGATTCGACTTCAGAATACCCGGGCATGAGTTGGATTTCAGGCCATTGTGGGACTCCACTAGTCATGAGAACAGGGGGCGGAAAATGTTTCGTTTATTTGCACCTGCATCGTGCGGTCGCGAAAGAAATCAGAGATCCAGGAGAGAAGATTCCCGGCAATACCGATTTCTCGGAGTTTAAGCAAAAGTCTTTCGTGTGGGACCCTGTCGAAAGCTTTGCTGAAATCCACAAACACAACGTCCAAGCGTTTGCCGGGATCTAGCGATTTCGCCCATTTCTCCTTAGCAACTATTAAGTTCGAGGTACATGGGCGTGCCCTTCGAAAACCATGCTGTGCACAAGAGAAGAGATTCAGTTCCTCGAGGTAGAGATGAAGAGTCTGCTTCAAGATCCGCTCCATAACTTTACACAATATCGACGTTAAGCAGACAGGACAGTAGTTGGCTGGATCTTGCCTGTTCCCTCCTTTGTATATGGGTTTTACGATGCCCACTTTCCAAGCCGACGGGAGATGCCCAGCTTCAAAGGAAAGACGGAAAGCCTGTCAGACAGGAGGGGCGATGTACTGCGCCACAGTCCTAAGGAACAGGGGTGCAAGCCATCCGGGCCGAGTGAAGAATGCGGATCTAAATCAAGGAGAAGTTTAACCACAGAATTGATGTTAATGTCTACTTGATCTAATAGATAAGGAAAACTGAACACAGTGTTGTCGCAGGTGGGAGTTTCTTTTGCGAAGACAGGCGTACTGCTGGGCCAAAAGACTGGCTTTATCAGCGTCTTCGTAAAGTAAATTTCGATGTTCAAAGGAACACAAGGTGGGACTGCCACTGCCAGCCCTGGTGCTTCTTTTTACATAAGAAAAAAGCATTTTGGGTGTCATTCTGGAATGTGCTGCTAATGATAGTTCATATTGCT